AGGGACCATTTGTGATCACACATACTAACCTTGAGGACCACGAGTGACACAAAAAAACATTAAGGATGCAATCTGATAGTTTCATAAACCTTAGGGACCTTTTGTGATAATAAGCCCTTGGAATATAATAGTTTCAATCGGGCTATGCAAGTGGCCCAAGTGAGTGGCTTGTGGGTTTCGCCTTTGAGTCAATGCCTAATTAATTGGGTCAATGATTCATTAATATATATAAATAATATATATTTAATTAATCAAAAGATGGGCCTTGGGCCTTTTGGGCTCTATGATTATATTTAAATAATATATATTTAATTAATCAAAAGATGGGCCTTTGGCCTTTTGGGCTCTATGATTTAAAATTAAACCCAATTAATTAAATTAATTCCAAGTTAATTAATTAATTAATTAATTGAATTATTTTCTAAAATTCAAATATCAGATAAGTTTGTCTGATTGGGTTTTGCCGTTATATGATACTTGTTCCAACAAGTATCAGCCCTCTATATAAACAGGAGCCCAGGTTTTGTTTAAACACATCAAAAACGCAGATATCATTCAAAGTCATCATTCATGTTCATAGCCTGAGAGAAACACATAGATTTAGCCAGAAATCAAAGCCCTAGTGCTAGGACTTTGATTTTAGATAGTTGTATCCTGGTGGAGCAGACGCCTGCATAACTACAAGTACTGAGTAGGGGCAAAATTATGTTTCAAGGACATTGCAATCTGCAAGCCTCTATTTGAAAAACCACTCAGTTTTTATTTTACTGCCTTGAAATTATTTTATTTATTGTTTAATTTAATTGTTAAATTAAATTATTAGTGTAATACTAATTGTTGTTCCTCCAACAGACACCAGTATGGTGTCTTTCAACATTGAAGTCAGTGGGGCTATCCTTAAGAAATTGAGGAAACACATGTACAATCTTGTATGAACAAAATTCTTGGCAGAGGAAAATATTGATTGTAGAAGGATTATAGATTAAGGCGGGTGTCTGCAATTCGGTGTTAATCCCGAAATGTAAGGAAGGAGTGAAGATCTCTCTGAAAATGGAAAAGGATTTAAGTGTGAATCAACATGACCAGTGTTAGGCTGAGCTGCACTAATTAAGCTAAACTTCCACACCAAAGCTCTTAAATGACACACTAATTGACTGTTCTGTTGAGCAATATGCTCTGCTCTGTGCCTCACATTTGTGCTGTGGTGTTGAACCTTTTTACACTCTCAAATATAAGTTTAAGCAGACACTAGTATGCCAACGGGTCTAGCCCAGTGGAAAAGGGCATTGACTTGCAGACTTGTGGTCTTTGTGTGTGTGAGAGAAAACCCCCATTTCCATGTAGTTTAGACTGTCGCTTATACTAAAAAAAAACACAAACTAGTATAGTTCTTTTAGCTATGCTAATGCAGTTTCCACAATATATAAGAAATAAAACTACAAATGTTCTTGCATAAAACAAGAATTTCCAAAACTTGTACCAGTTTGTAGCTTTAGCACAGGCAAATATTCTTTATGCAATCTCTGTGATTTAACAAAATTAAAACTTATTGTAAATTCAGTATCAATGAGTAATACAATTGTTGTAAAAGTCCTTAAATGTGTACAACATATGTCCTATTTCAGACATTAGTATTCCCACTGACATAAACCATGTACGAGGAAAAGAGCACTCGGAAAGACCACATCAGAAAAATATGGCAAACCTGAATATGACCTGCCCGAAGTAATTCAAGCCGGACTAAATTCCTCAGGCATGTCGGTTCCTTATATGTCGTATAACAACTTGGAAAATGATTTCATATGTTCAGATTGAAGAGATATGGCCACTGATAAACTCCCATCATTATTTGCACTTGGTATTACAAAAGCCAGCCCCTCAAATGCAATTCCACCAGGTCCCATGAAAATGGGTCGACCCCAACCAAAGTCAGCATCATGGATCGGCAGTCTAACCCAGCTAGTTATCCCAAGATTAGGGCACCTAAAAGAATGAGCACCGCGAACAAGGGCTGACAGATCAGGCTGAAGCTCAAGATAGTCTAGAGCCGATCTAAGATATTTATCATCCATACGAACCAAAGCATCATGAATGCGGCTTGCTGCGAACCATGTTGGTTTTGATTGGAGATCCCCTGCGACAGCAATGGGTGTTGCTGTGAAAATCACATTGCCAAAGTAACCAGGAGGGAGTGGGGGTTGCAGTCTGGATCTTCCATCAGTGGCAATATATAGTTTGGTGTCTTGATCATTGGGAAGTTCGCGTGCCTTGCATACGCACCTCCAAATATGACCCGCCATCATCTCATATGAGCTATAGCTAACTGTGTTCCCAGCTTCCTTGGACTTGGCTTTCAAGATGTTGAGCTGCTCCCGCGTCAATCTGAAAATGGAGACTGTTGTGCTATCAGCGCCAGGTTTTGTGCTTTGCGGAGGGGTTTTCATTGGCGGAGCAGGTTGGTATTCGATGTGGTGGAATGCAGGCTGCGGTGGATCCCGGGCACGAAGTAATGTCCTGTCGATGAATGGCGGAAGTGTAAGATCAAGGCCGCGAGCCATATCAGACCATGTGTTGACAAAGTGGAGACCAGAAAATCCATCTGCTGCATGATGCTGCATTCCAACACCAAGGGACACTCCTCCGCATTTGAAGTACGTGACCTGCAAAGAGTACCATACCTTAAGCTCAACTCTTCAACAATTCCAATTGGTCAATTGGTTGAAACATTCAGTGTTACTCAACAACAGATTGTTAGCAATTGATCACCAAGAATCATCCAACCAAGTCCAGAGGGTGACATATTCAAACAATCTTTCAATATTATTTCAACCCTTGAAAGATGCTTCTTTAATACTTTAAGGAAACATATAACTTGGGTGGTCAGACTATTGAAATGTTCAACAAATAATTAATCTCAATAATAACTTCTGAACAGCACATTTTTCCTATTAAATATGTTTTTTGAACTTTCTCTATTTTGACTTCTGAACAGCACAATAATAACGTGCAAACATCCGGATAAGAGAATAACTGATATATATATTAATTTAAGAATTTGGAGACTTTTTAAAGCTATAGTTTTCAATAGTTTCCTGAAATGAGATCCATGGAAATTACCATGATTGTATTGACTGTATTATAATGTAACTAGGAAATTAATAATTGGTTGGAATGTGAGCAAACTTTGAAAATAATTGTTGTGAAATGTGAGCAAACTAAATTCTTTTATACTCTCCATCCCCCTATCGCTTTGGCTTAAAGCTAAAAGTCCCATGTACTCTCACCAATCCAAGGAGAAAAGGCCGCTGACCCAAAATCACACCAAATTACTAAGTTAAACCAGATTTCCTAACCATCTTGACCCACCAATTAGATTAGACGTGCACTTCACCTAATATTGGTGATGATGTTAACACATTTTTTAAAAGGTGGGTAAATACCTATGAGTCCCACTTACGTGAGTGATACGGTCAATGTATGTGACACGAACAAGTTTAGAAAACAATTATCTACCGAAATCAATAACTATGAGTCACCCGCGGCCGACTTACCTACCTTAGGCGAGTAAATGCCTTGTATATAGGTCAATAAATGTGATCCTTAGTTTTTGTAACAAAAAACAAAAAATGATATAGGTTGACCAATTGATGATATAGACACTTCGTTTGAATAGGTCCCCGTTCCCTCCCAAGATTTTTCTCTTTTTTTATTTTTATTTTATTGTTAAGTGTTATAAACGATACTACGAACGTTCACCAAAACAAACCATAAATACAATACGATATACGAACATTCCAAAACTTTACCGGGAAAAAAATAATTAAAAAAAACATCAATACAATTTATA